ACATGCAGCGAGGTTGTGACCCTCTCACATGCTATGCACAAGGTGGATACACAAAGATCACACACATTCGCAATAATGTTTCAGCTATTACATGTCTTATCAAGAGGATTTTCCGCATGAGGACAAGGAGGTGAAAGGTTGAGGCTTGGCCATGCTCTTCTCATAGTTTGGAGCGGCGGAAACATCACGCGGTAATGAACAGGTTCAGGGCTAATAGAGGAGAATATGACCTCCTTGTACCTCCTTGAATACACAACTTGAAGAACAGGTGTAATATTTCTTTCACTGTCACTTTCTTTTTCCTTTTCGCCCACTCTAACAGTTGATATTCTCTCATCTAATGCAAAGACCCAAATATAATTTAAACTTGTTCTTAGCAATTGTAATGATTGGCACAGACGCAGTGAGATGTTTATGCTTTTCTGTGTGGGGAAATTGATAGCTGATGAAAAGACGACGATGAAGGCAAAAGGTCACAGAAAGTATAAATTAACTGATTCTGCTTACATATACTGTATGATATATGTTTTTATGAAAAAAACCCTGTATAGTGAAACAATTATAATCATATAAAACATTCTCAGTAAAGATTGCTATGAATAAATTGTAACTTAGCATTCATTTCATTATACATAAAACTTGCAACATATTTCTCTTTCACAGAAATCCAGACAGACATCATTCGCAGTATATGCTGAGATAGGGTCATATGTCAAATATGACGTGAACATGATCTAGTGTTCAACATGTAACAGTGTACTTATTCTCTAAACTACAGTTTCACCATAAAAGGGTGTAAGCAGCACAAAACATACACATCCAGAGGATAGCATATCCCCAAGCTATGACTTTCATCATGTATGCATAACATGAATTAAAGAACTGGACCAATGTTTTTCTGTTGCTATAATGTTTTTAGCGTCTAGTGTTACTGTGCCTTAAAGTCCATCGGTCATGTCTAAGTGGGTGCTGAGAGACCCAACACCCTGGGCTTCATGACTTCATGTTAGTATAGGGGCCAAAGTAGGACTTAAACATGCTTTCATCTCTGGGTCAACTCATTTGAGTGTACAGGGACCCAAAGTGGCTCAGAAATCTCTACCTCAACCATACTTTGTAAATCAAATGAGAGAAAATAAACAATGGCCCCAAATGTAATTGAATCAAGCAAAATAAGAAACAAACGTATCAGCTAGCTAAATTATTAGGCATCTACAAAAGTAAGCAATAAGAAAAGCCAATAATGTGTTGACTATATCTATTACGTTGATCCGAGTTAAGGTCTGACAGGTGAAAAGAACTGATCCTGCAAACGGTGGGAGCAGCAGACAGCGAGAAAAATGGGTTTCTGTACTTCCTGTGACACGACCGCGCTTCCCATGGTGTGGCATTTAGCATAAACAGATGAGCTAATCTGAACTGTGGATAACGCACCTGCCTCATTCCACTAAATAAATAAGCCCTGTACCCCAATCCCCTTCCCCCTGTGCCTCTCCCTCTATACTTCCATCCCTCCATCCCCTGCTGCGCCACTGCTCTCCATTTATTTCTCCTCCTCTCCATCAGTCGGGTAGATGGAAAGAGGGAACGAGGGAGAGTAAAAGTGGAAAAAATAGAAAAGGGCTCATATCATCGGTGGGCCAAAGGTGAGTCGCCTGGGGAGGCAGCGGGAATGAAATTCTCCCAGTCCCATTTTACCAGCCATTCAAAGCACATTACTCTGGAGAAGGGGAAACTTATAAAGCCCCTGCACTTGAACACATTTCTGTGTGTTTACGGGAGACAGAGAGGGGCTGCTGTACCAATGCCTCAGTAATAGATTCCCAATTTAGGCTCACTTCTCCTCTCTCTCTTCCCCTTTTGTCTTTCTGTCTCTCTCTTTTGCTTTATTTTTCTCACTCTCTCTCACACATCCTTCCATGTATTCCTATTCTCTCTCTCTCCCCCCATTTCTCTGCAGGCCTGCTGCTGTCCTCCCCTCTAGCTAGGAGAGACCCTTACAGGCTGACTGCTTGGAAAAGGAATATCAGGAAAACGGTTTGTTTGTGTCTGCCACTGTAGACGCTGCAAATTGTTTCACTGAGGAGGGCTGATAGACTTGATGATATAACTGTCATCTCCATAACTTGATGGCAGTCTATGATATCTGCACTGTAGCTGTAGCCAGCTGCTGGTAGAATTGCTGCTGGAGCACATACTTTTCTGAAAATGATGCAATAGTATGCTGCAAAATGGGGCAGTTCATTAGAGGGGGAGAATATAAGAAATTGAGATCAACTTCTTTACTAAAGCCTTTTTAAAAGCAGATGAAGAATGCAAAAGGTTATTTGTAAAAAGATAAATCCAAGTATTCTTTATAATATTTAGAACTCCTCATTAGTTAAACTGTGATAGAATAAAGCCATTTTGTAGGTTACTGAATATGCTTATGACAAAAGGTATGCTAATAACTGCACCACTCTTTAAATATAACCTCTTGGGCTATAATAGTATATCCATGTGGGACAATGCTGTCACTACAGTAATTACAGAAATACTACCAAGGTGGAAGGGCAACCTGCTTATAATGGTTGCTAAATTAGCTTATCTCTGAAGCATAATAGTGATCAAACACCTTGTAGCAATAGTAGACCCTCATTATTGCAATGCCTTTACATGTTCCTGGTGCTAACCAGGGCAGCATGGAACATGAATAACGGATGTTTTGTCTAGTGTGATACATTGGATCAGGCCAAGGCAAGTTGTGTGCGTATGCATGGCTATATTTTTTATTGACACAGATAAGTTTGAGTAAAAGTGAACTAATTATCATATTATGGTTCTATTACATGAAGCTGCTCACAGGCTATGATTAACCTATGCACCTCTCCGAGTTTAACAACTAAGCGGTCATTGGGTATTATATCAACTGTTTTTAATTAGGTTACTATGTTACTCCTTTCTGGATTCCTATTGGCTGCTTGGGGATAAAAGTATACCATAAATGCCTATTTTATGGATATACATTACCCTCTGTGCTAATTTAATATAATTGAGTTACAGGTGTCATGACGCTATAACCGTTGTGCAGTGAGAATGAGTGGAAACGCAGGTCAGCGCTAGTCTCACTCAGCTGGAGATCATGAGGTAAATGCAATGGATGTTCTATTTTGGTCACCATTATAATTATTATCTTGTAATACATTTTCATGCAATACTTACAAAAATCAACTAATTAAAAGGTTAGACTAAGCTGGTGTAAGTCAAGCTCTATGACAGACAAAGAAGAAACATGAACTGAGTAAGGAAATAAACATCTCAATGTCTTGTCAGAAGCTGTTTCAGGCAGAGAAGAATAGACATCAGTGAATGTCTTTGGAAGCCAGCCGTTTAGACTGGACAGCAGGCTGCCCATCAGTGACAGGCCCCGGGCCAGTGTACAAGTGGAGAACCCGATAGGAGCTGGCAGGTGAGACCTGGCCTGGAGTCAGATCATACAAGTCCAGCTGGGGCTAACACATCAGCAGACAGCAGCACCTTGCAGGTGGCCTGACACAGACGTAAATGTGACCTGCCACTGATGGACTCTGACTGAATACGGCTTGATTCAAATCAGGTTTTATTTGCATTAAGAAGCATTGTGAAGGAGGAATACTGTCAAACACTCATGGGCCACGAAAGAAACTTCTGAAATCAGTATGTGTCTCAATAAAAAGGAAAATAATGAATTGTTGATTCCAGTCTCCTCACTTAAAATGTGCTATTCTAAACTAGTGGTAATCAGATTTTTATAATTGAAAACTGATATTTTGTCTCGTTTTTATCTTTTAGTATCTACAGAACACCAGCAAAGGGCCTTTTAATAATCCTTTCAAATCCGCCCATCTCCTATTTATTCCCTCATCTCTTCTCAATTTCCCAAAGTAGAGGGTACAAAAATGGCCTGCACCCCCTTTTTTCTTCATACCATACGGGTGTATTTTAATCAACATCGTGTGCAAATGAAATGTCACGCCCTTTAATGTGAGAGCACTGTGGGAAATGTCGATAGAAATGTCAAGTGGTTGCAGGGATGTGGAACCAGAGGGGTTGATGTCATCCGTGGTACAGTAGACTGAGGGGCCACTGGGCATTCCCAACCTTAACACTGAGGACAGCAGAGTGGAATCAGGATTGGTTTGAGTAGATAAGAGTCAAGTCATTGGCTTTGTTTACAAAAACCATTACAAACTTTTGTGTCCAAATCAACACAAAATTTAGGTCTGATGACAACTTATGTTGATGTCAAGTCTGTCAAGTTTACACTGCAAGTCTTAGCGCTCAATCTTGGTTTATTGCTCGGATCTCGAGTGTTTATGTTTGGCTGTTCACATTATTTTTTAAATGGGGCCAATATTAAATTCCAGTGTGAATCACAATCACCGTCCTGAACTGACATGCAGCCGTAAAACAACAATAACAAAGATGTCACATTCGGCACGCCATTGTACAGAAGTAAACATGGAGGCCAGTGAAGTCAGTGTTACGAAGCCAGCGGACTCGAGCAGATGAATGAGAATGGAGATGTATTTTATCAATGAGACAGTGGATTTACACCTTTAAAAGTTAAGGAGAAAATTTGAACCCTCTTCAGGTAGGGTTTTGTTTATGGTCTGCAGTCCATAAACACACAGCACACAAAAAAAGAGGCCGTTCCTGTACTTCAAAACTCAGATTAGGTAGATCAAAATCTCTACGTAATGAATGAATACCGATACTGATGCATGCATGTGCATACATATCCGTGTGTACCCACAGTCAGGTTCACCAAAATGAATTCTCAAAATAACTGAAGGTAAACACCCATACTGTATGTTTTCTTTGAAAAAGCAATCAGCTTTCTAAATAATGTCTTTCATTAACCGATCAAAGCAGATTTAGGTAAGAGGCCTTTCTTCCCTGCTCTTCTGCAATCACCAACCAAAGGGGTTGAAATTTGCTGGTCTTAAAGTAGAGAGGGATTATTTTCCCTCGCAGATATAATGGTCCACCTGTCAGAGGGAGTTAGAGATGATGCCCTATCACTGACAGGTACACTATCACCCTGCCCAAAATTCAATATTTCTCAGCGGAAAATTAAACTATAGGGAAAATAAGGACATGGAGTGTGCACCTACCAGGAGAGACATGGCTGCTCATATCTTGCTTACGACATAATTCTACTGCCAGAGCGCAAGAGAGAGAGAAAGGGAGAGAGACAGAGATGGTGTCTGGGCATGTACCTACGCAGACAGATTGTGCTGTGTATAAGTATGGTGCGCTATAGTGGAAGGGACCTGGGCTCAGGCTCAAATTAACTGTGTGGCAGACTGGACTGTCAACTGCAATTACCTGCCTCGCACTTCCTGGACCATACTGGTAATTTATTTCCTCCCCCCCCCCCCCCCCCCCCCATGCCTTCCTCTCCCTCTCCCCGCTCTCTCTACAGTCCCTCATTCCAAATATCACCAGCGAATGTAAACAGGCCTTGGCCACCTCCCTGTCAACTTGGAAGGCCTAATAATGGGAGCCTTGCCTTGCACATTTAGAGGCTATTTTCGGTGAGAAGATGGGCCCTGACCCTCTGCTCCCTGCCTCACTCCCTCTCCCCCTTGCCCTCTCGACCACATTACAGAACAATTATCTCAGTCTAGTCAGACAGGGCAAGGGGGTTAAGTTGAATAGCCATTGGCTGTCGCTGATTGCTTTTTTTAGATTTATTAGATTACAAATTAAATTGGAGGACTTGGCATGCTGGAAGTCAGGAGGTTTTCTATGTGTGAAAATGTGTGTGTGTGTGAAAAGAGAGAAGACTACACATACTGGTATGTAACCCCCCCTGCCCAAAAATGTTTTCATGCATGTAATACTGATACAAATAGATACAATCACACATTAAACTTTTTTTCTCACACA